GCTCAAAAAACAATGGGCTGATTTTAACGAAAGCAATTAGTGGATTTATGACTGATAAACTTGGAGTCCATTATAGCCGCCAGCCAAGTGAACAGAGAAAACAAAAATGGCAATGACTGTTAAATTTACAAATGCTGAGCTAAAGTTTGGTTTTGAAGCAGTTGAGCATAATTCAACAGATTTGGGTAGTTCTCTTACCTCATGGTAGGGGGCGCTCATGAGCCGAGGGATTCTTTTATTTTCAGCTGKTGAGCAATTGACAAATCAAGTCCATTTATTTTTTTTCTCCTTGGCTCTAGCCAAACCTGACTTTCAGAATGGAGGATTATGTATCCAAGCTGAAACATTTTTCTAACCAAACCACTTTTTCTGCTTTTTCTGACTTTTTTTTCCAACTTGTAACAATGTCTGATGGTATATTGTAACCAGTGCATGCACTTCATTTACAAGTAAAGGTAGGACTGTAACATTTTTTATAACGTGCTTTAGGTGAGTTTCAGTTTGTGTGTGTAAAGAAAGCTGATAACTCGTTMAGTTCTGGTGAAACAGCTACTCTGTAGGGTTCATGTGTGGACGTCGCTGGTCATTTGTGTCTCACCTCTTCCTCATTTGTTAATCAGTCCAGCTGCACTTACTTTGTCATCACTGGTCCCAGCTTACATTAGCTCCAGTTGCTGCATTCAAGTGAAAGTTTTSACTGAGTTATCCTAATTGTTTGCAATCCACCAATAAAATAAAAGAAGAAGTAGTTATCCTATTTTTGTGGTTTGCTTTTCAGGTCCTCATCACGAAACCTTTGAAATGATGTTAACTTTAAACAGATCTTCCCTTAAAACTTCTGCACAGAGACATGTCATTGGTAGCAAAAAGGAGTATTCAGTCAGATTTTTGACTATAATTAATTCATGGATCAGAAGGAAATAAAACCAAGAATTTTTGAGTTTAGGAACAGTCAAGCTGGCCATAAAGTTTAATTTGAATAACATTTTCTAAGAACATCCTTTAGTAAAATAATGCAATGTTTTATGTTTTAGACCTGGTTGCAGCCAAAAGTCAGCCTACAGTACACTTCTCTGCACTTCCTTCCGTCACTCACTTTGCTCTGCTCAAAAGAACGGGCCGTAACCTTGAAGCTGTTTCAGAGCTTTCAGTTAAAAGATTAAAAAGAGAGAGAGAGAGAGAGAGAGAGAGAGAGAGAGAGAGAGAGAGCGATCGAGAGGGAGAAGGGAAAAAAATCTGTGGCTGCAAAGAAAGTCGAATGGCGACACTTTCGTTGCTGGCGTCAGTGAGGGACAATAACGGAGGAAAAAAGGAACGCGTGTGCTGATGTCAGAGGCGGATGTTTGCAAACGTGACACAGTGAAGGCCGGAGAGCGGCTCGTCTCCTGAATGTTACCTCGTACAGCGGCGCGCAGATCCCATCAATCCACTCCAGCTGAAGCCCCGGAAGCTCGTCCTTCCTGTTGCGATCGAATATGGCCTAAAAACGCACAAAAAAAAAAAAAAAAGGCAAAACGTGTTTTCTGCATTTTTCACACTGTCAAGAGATTTGAGTGAATTCTCCCTTCCTTTTCTTTCTCACATCACATTTCCCATTCGCCCTCATTCATGCAGGCTGAACTTAAGAGGCTCCACGGAGGCTGTGCTTCAGAGATAGTTACCAGGCTACGACTCAGAAGTTAATATTTCATTTCCAACACCCACACAAGGAAGAGCTAAAGGTTTGACACAAGCAGCAAACCCTAGGCTACTGAATTAGTTATTTCAAAAAGGGGAGGCAATGTGGCCTGACTCGATTATTTAACAGTCATTAATTGCATCCAGAAAGCTGTTGGTTTTCTCCTTTGAAGGATTTATGACACTCTTCTCTTGGCTGCAGCTCTCAGGTTTGGAAAGATATTTCTGAATGAAGACAAACATCCTAACTGGGAGCTAGATTTTACACTTTTGTAAGTTAAATGAGGGGAAATATAAAACAGTCATTGTGTTTTGCAGATTAATGAACACAAAATCAGCAACAGAGGGGTCGAGCTGACTGTACGTATTTCTCACGTGAAGCAGCACGAGCTCTCACGTTTCCTTCGCAGTCCCTTTCGGAACTGCAGAGCCAATATATCTTTGGTTTTGGCATCATCAGCTCTCCGAGGGCACAGAGGTGAGGGGAGGCTGCAAAAAGCTGAGCTGGTTTGATTTTACTCACCGAGGGCGTGAGCTTCAGCTCCAGTCGTTCTCTGTCCCCTTGCTCGAAAAACTCGCTCGTCACCAACTCTGCGACCTAGAAGGAGACGGAAAGGTTTGTGTATTTTTCGAAGCAAACGAAAATTGACCTGAGATTGTTCACTTGCTGCTGAAGGCAACAGTGTTTTTTGCACAGGTCTTTCTGTGTGTGCGCATGTTAGCAAAATTATCAACTGTTTCACTGTTGAGCTGATTCAAGATGGCCGCAGCAGCAAAGCGACTTTAGTAAACTGTAAAAACGACCATAACTCAGTCAGTTTTACAAATATTGAACAAAAAATATGGTGTGACTGTAGCTGAGAGTCATCCCCAACACATACTCAGACATCTAACAGTTTCCTTCAGGTTTGCTTTTAAATCTTTGCCATTAACAATTAGAGCCAACCCTGTCTGTCTGTTAGCAAAATATTTCACAAACCACTGGATAGATTTGAATGAAGCTGTCAGAAAGTAATCATTTGATGCACATCTACAATTGGTTCACTTTTGGAGTCAATCAAATTCAAGATGGCTGCCACAGCCAACCAAGCTTAGAAAACACAAAAATGGTTCTAAGTCAGCCAATTTGATGGATTTCAAGAAATAATTTGCTGTGGTCATAAATGAAATTAAGCTCAATCGCATCGTCTAAGCACATATAGATTGCCCAAGAGCTTATAATTTTAACATTATCTGTTAAAATCAAATTTGTCTGTTAGGAAATTATCTCATAAAGCTGGACAGAGTTTAATAATAACTTTACAGATTTTAATAAATCTCTGAAAAAGTCATCACTGAATATACATCTACACGTTTCTCCAATTTTGTGTACTTGTCACCTTGCGCGATATTTCCCAGGGCTTTGTGACAGCACCAAGATCGCACGCTGTCATCATCATGGATCTGAGAAGAGAGCAGGTTATTTTAAGCCTTAAGAGATGCTGATGCCATTTAAAATCACTTTTAGGGACACAAAGAGGCGACTCTACCTGCACATGTCTCTGTGAGCCTTAACGTTCCAGTTGTACTCTCCTTTTTTGACCAGTTCAAAGAAAGTGCTTCTTTTCCTGAAGCGATATTACATTAAAATAAAGAACCTTTTACACCGGGTTGTGAATTACAAAGAAATCCACAAGGGGGCGSTGTTAGCTAAAACAAACCCTGCACTCCTTTGATAAGCAATGCACAAAAACAGGTCCAGAGGTTGGCCATATTCACTGGAAATGAGCCAGGGCTCTGGACTGTGCTGACGTCTGACTTACAGATTAATAAAGAGTAGGTTTAGCAGAACATACTCAAAGTACAGAGTGAGGTCCGTGGCCAGAATGGACTGTTTCAGCAGCTGCATGAGGTCACTGTACTCTGTGGACGACAGATTGGAGAAGATGTTGTGACCCTGTAGAGACACAAAGAAGCACATTTTCCAACTACACCTTCATATCCAAACATCTTYATCTGTTTTTAATAGAATAGGTCTTTGTCATTGCACAACAATTTTAACATAGGCATASAGGACAACAGCAATATATACAGTATATACAGAGACAAAAGTAATAATAAAGTAGTTATTGCGCCGTTTTGCATCCAAAATGCAGGGGAGCCATTGTGAGGGTGGAGGAGAGCTGTGTGCACCAGTTCTTACAGACTGAGGACGATTTGTAAGCAAGTCCTTAATCCAGCCRCAAGTGGTGGGAGKGAAGTCYAGGGCAGCCAGTTTGTCCCCCAGGATGTTGGGACGGATGGTATTAAAGGCCGAGCTAAAGTCCACAAAGAACATCCTGAMGTGAACTCCAGGAGTTCTAGGTGGGTCCGAGCGGTGTGGTGGGCAGTGGATCTGTTAGCTGTGTATGATGAGGATCAAAGGAAGGAGGGAGGAAGTTCTTGAGGTTCAAAACATTTGGCGACCACTGGTGTTAGAGCAGGGGTGCCCAACCTTTTTTGAAACAAGAGCTACTTTTGAAGTCGGCAGTTTGCCGAGATCTACTCGTCCAGTCTCAGTATCAAAAAACATGATTTTTCGTCTCCCTACTCCTCACTTCTTTAAAGTAAATAAAACAGAACGTAATGTGTTGCTAGTTTTATTTAATTTAAAGTATTGTCAAACAAAACTATCTACTTAACCATATATTTACCTACAAAAAAAAAGAAAAGATAAAATCCTTACTTAACTCCTGACAGAGAAACAGAAAAGTGATGCTCAAACAAAAAGGATCAATCCTGGTGGACAACTGCATGTCTTTATAGCAGCCACAATCTCACTTTTATTTTTAAAATCACGGAAAAGCACGTCTGCAGCATAAAACGCTACTTTCATAACTTMGTTATCGCTGAAAGACGTGTGTTGAGGCAGGTACGGGGCTGCATTAGCATAGCACCCTTACCTTAGGAGGGGAAATCCGCCTCGTAGCGTCTGTGCATTCGTTCGAAAGAAATGCTGTTCCACGTTATCCTTTTGGACAAGCCAAGGCAGCGCTCAAATTATGTATGAGTCCTCTTCCCACTCCAGGTGAAAATAATAAGTTTTAATTTGCTTGTTAGCTGTCTTTTGTTCATCATTTTTTTCCGCCTCGCTGCCATGTTTTAACACGTGACCCTAATCTCGCAAGACCATGTTCGGAGTGCTGTTTCACAGCACCCAAAACTCACGAGACTGGAGCGCGTTCAAGAATGCAATATTAAACAACTGTTGCGAAGAGTGTGTGTTCAAGGCTGCAATGCTAAAGAAACAAACGTTGCATTCTACAAGAGCGCGTTTAAGGCTGCAATGCTAAACAATGTTGTGTTCTACAAGCTCCGTGATCCATTGCTCTGTGAGCTACTGCTAACAGGCTAAAGATCTACCAGTAGATCCCGATCTGCTGGTTGGCCTGGCCTGTGTTAGAGCTATGACGTAGTCATTGATTTAAGAAAAACAGTAAACAAAAATGTTTGACCACAGGAGCACCCAACATGTCAATGTGAAATTAACATAAAAACAACTTCTGCCAGTTTAAAATGATCCAGATTCATCTGGACTTTGATCACAGTTTTCTTTCAACACAAACTTTGATCTGAGAGGTAAACGGCTCCCCTGCTGGGGTTTTTACACACAGTCGCTTCATTACTGGTGTTCTTGTCAAAAGTGTAAACAGATCTTTAGCTCTGCTACAGTTACAGAAGTTTCTTGTTTTAATTGATGGTTATCAAAAGAGGGATTTTACAGCAGAAAATTCTAAGGATCCTGACGCTGAGGTGAAGCGTTTTTCTAAACAATCAAGACCAGACAGGAGTGCATTACACACATTCTTCCAGCTTGAACACCCCACACAACCCTCCGCACACGCAAACTAATTTTGTCTGTGTTAACTTTGAATCAATCCAATCCTGCTGCTTTAGTCTTTAGTCTGCTTTGGCCTCTGTCGCCTAACCAGGTCTAGTTTTAGTTTACAGGCTCGTTGTCACCATAACAGACATTTCTCAGAACAACAGCCCAGCTCCTGTTAAGTCATGGCGATGTGGAGCAAAATTGAGGCTCTGTGCAAAATAATTTTCTCCACCGTGCTAACTGTTTTCCAACTGAGTGCTAGATTCCTGCACTTTGTAAAGCCTTAAATGATTTTTCAGCTTTTATCCAATGCAGTAAATGCCATTTTAATGCATTAAAATTATAACATTATTTTATTTAAAACTGTCCTTTATCAGAATTAGTGTTACAGGTTGGTTATGCTAAATCCTGCATTTGACACAATCATCAATGCTGAGTTTTATTCTATAAGAAGTACAATTAGTGCTGATATAAGTCGTTACCTGGATTTGTTATGGAAGCCACACCTCTGCAGCTCGTACATCTCACCTCACCTTTAATGCAGCTTTCTGACTTTTTCATTCGACAATTTTTCTGAAAGTTGGTTTGAAAATAAACTAAGCTTTAAAAAAAGAAAAGAAAAACTAGATCACTGTTTAAAACAGAAAACGTCAGCTCTGAATAGTTCCCTGACATTGCCCTAACTCCTTTCACTAGCTCATGAGGTCCCATAAAATATTGAACCATCTAACAGCAACACAAAGGACGTCTGTCATTCTGTCAGAGCTGTAGCAGACGGAGGAGGGAGGGGAAAGTAAAAAAAAAACCCAACAAAAAACAAAATATGAAGGTAGTGAGTGATGTATAAAGTTTACATTTGTATCAACAGCTCGTGTGGAATCACCGGCAGAATCGTCTGCTTGAATCAGCCCCCGCTGTTCATTTGTATACCAGGTAACTAAAGACAACAGCACTTCCACCCCACCACCAAACGACACCAACACGATATCCTGATCAAACATTTGTCAGCTCGCTGTGCTGTCAGCACTCTGATAATGAAGCCACTGAAGCGGCCCCCTCCCTCGTCCCAGCTGCTCCCTCCGAACGCCTCCAATTACAACTTCACCAAACCCATTCACCTGCTGAAATGACTTTGTCAGCCAGTTATCAGCGAATCTATCACCTCTGTAATYACATTGATTTGAGGGAAGCGTGAGCTATTTGTTCACACATGTGGATGCCTTTAAGCACGGTGAGCAATGATTTATTCACGTTCAAGGAAAAAGTGTTTAGAGCATTTCTTCATTCAGTTTTTGGACAACATTAGTTTTGACTGTTTATTTCACCACAAAGATGGATTTAAAGTGGAGTCATTTTAATGTAACGAGGGGACTTCTGTGGGAGGTGTTGCATGAGCACTGGGTGCTGGGGTCACATGTGACTGAGTTGCAGAGGCAACAGGTTCAGGAGAGAAAACCAAACATTTCTTTCCCCCAGCAATACCCGAGTGTGACTTCAACTTTTACAAAAGGCAAAGCTCTCGATTTACTGATTTTCAACCCTCACCTGTGGTTTTGAGGTGTGGAACATGACTGCAAGAACAAGATGCCAAATACAAACAGCTGAAATGACTTTTCTTCCCTATGGCTACTTTCATGTCCTCTCAACCTGCATCCATATTCCTGCAGCCACAGCTGGCACCACCAGCAGGCAAGGCAGCTGAAGTGTTTTGCCCAAGAACACAACAACTAGGACAGATGGATAACCAGTAACCAGTGCTGGCTCTAGCCATTTTGGTGCCTTAGGCGAGTTGAAGCTCACCCCCTCCCCCACCCCAATTTGAACCCCTAAAAACAAGTTTGACTTTGACAGTGTAAGGTACTATGGTAAACTTAAATTTATTTGCTTTCCCAGAAAGCAAATAAATAACAACATACATGTCAACTTGTACAGATTGTCCATAAGTTATAAGGATTTTGTGTCATTTTGCAGGTACAGTATATGGACCCACAGAGCAATCTCACAGATTTTTTTCAAGTTTTACGGATTTTTTCAAAACCTCACTTTCAAATTTATCTATGTCAGAGCCTGTAGGATGATTTAAAAACAACAAATAACAGTAAATAGCCATCTTCCAACCTGTTCTGCCGCTAGAAATAAGTTTTGAAC